TATTAGTTTATGATGTGCATTACTGCAACCTCATCAGTCTGAAGGGCATTCAATTAACGCCACAGACTGAGGCCCTGCAGTCCACACTGTTCTGCCTCTGCCAGTGCCACAAATAAAGTTTGTTTTTTTTAGCTCTCTTCAACACAAACATGCATGCTGTTAATATAGATTACATTTGTAATGTGTTAGAGATGATAGGTTCTTGTAAAATACTCATTTTGTAATAGTTGCCCTGCTTTTTCTACACTCATGTGAGTCTTCACATGTGAAATAAAAGGAATAATATTAAGAATAATGAGAATAAAGAAAGAGTCTTGGACTGCCCATATAGAATCACTGTGGTGTGGTGTTGGTTAAATCACTGTAGCTGACCTTCGTTATCAGGTTTTGCAGCCGTGGCCTGGACAGGAGGAGGATGTTTTGTGATTGTTTGTATGTGTGTGTGTGTACGCTCGCATCTCGTGCGTTTAGACTGTCCTTCATGAAGCAACAGCTGCATACAGAAACCTACATTGCGCGTCATGATGCGTCTTTGCTCGTGCATGTGCACCAACACGCACCAGGACTGTTTATAGCTGCAACAAAGGCTTTCAAACTGAAGTGCACAAGATTTTCGTCCCTCATCTTCTTCTTCGGACGAACGAAGTTTAAGGATGAGTCAAACCCAGAGACGCGCAAGGATTTGATAGATTATTGAAAGTGTGACATGAATGGCTCTTATAAAATGCCTCGCGCAGTGGGAGGCAGACCAACACAAAGGGAAGAGTTATTCACCATCATCAATCTTGCACAGCTTTGTGTTGTGGTCTAGAAAGCAGCTCTGATGATAGCCACATTTGATAACATCAAATAATCGTGTACCAGGTAGGAATCCGCCCTCCCCCACCCCAAACGCACACTCACGCAGACACATACGCAGTCCAGATGTGCGAGATCGAACCTGGACCTTTTAACGGGTCCGTTTAAACCGTACCGCAGATGTCTTAAAACCTAAGGGGGGAGGAGGGGGGAGGACGTGTCTTTGGAGGAGAATGGTGGGTGAGACCCGGCGCTGAAAAATGAATCCAGGAGCCTTTATGTTGCCGGACAGATTGGAGAAATTAATGTGCTCGCCACAGTCGCAGCATCCCTCCAGCCCCTTTTCTCGGCCCTGTCGCCTCCATGTCGCGAGGCTGAAAAGGTGCTTCATTGAAGTTTGGGGGGCGAAACGGGGAGAAGGCCGAGTTCACCTCGAGGACACATTTTCTGTCCCATTAGGCTCACTTCAGTCTGGATAGCCGCCCTCTCCCGCCCTGTGACCTGACCCCCTCTATGTACGTGTACCTTCTGTGTGCGCCCTCGCTGGTGCCCCCCCCTTGGCCCGGACTTTCATTGGGGGTTTTCTGCGTTTTGCCAAAATAAGGGGAGAGAGAGGGGATCCTGAGGCGGGGGGGGGGGGGGGTGTCAATGTCTTGCTCAAACAGGGTACTGGACAGTCCAATGCGCAACTTGTGCCTTCTTTGGTTTGACGCGTCTCAAAAAGCTTTTTTTTTTTTAAATAACTTAATAGCAGCAAATTTTAAAATAAACTTAGCATTTTGAACAGCATATCACTTGAGTTGATTGATTTTTTTTTCTTCACTCTAAAGCATAATGAAAAAATAAATGACCCAGTGATTAGTTAATAATCAAATCTGAAGATGAAGTAAAAATAGTTTCACTTTGTAAACTCGCGTCATTTCCATAATATTAAACTGGTCAGCTCCAAAAGGGAGCTGCCAATTATAGGTTTTTGTGACATAACTGGGACAGAGCGGGTCAGTGTGATTAGTCTAAGAGCAAGAACCTTCAAGGTTCAAATGAAACTTTTTTTTTTTAATAAACCTAAAATAAATCATTAAAATCATTATCTTAAAAAAACATCAGATTTTAGTTCAGTTTTAAAGTAAAACACGACACTCTTAATGAGATAACTCTCTCTTTTCTCATTTTATTTGTCAGGTTTTCACTATTTTGCTGCTTTAAATGTATTTAAATGCTCTGCTTGAAGTCATTTCACATTTTACTGATTCATCGTTCATTCGGGGAAACATTCCAACATACCAGCCAAGATAAACAACTACAGGGAAGGAAAAACTCGTGTCTGTGTTGTTTTGGGGTCTTTTTCCTTCCTGTTGGAGGCAACAGGTGAAGCTTGGATTACTCCTGCAGGCTTCAGCTCCTGCAGCTGAAGGGGTGTGTTCAGCCAACAAAAGTTCAGCTGCGTCTATTGGGTTTATGAGAATAAACTTAGAATAAGCATTAATAAACATTAAAATTCAACTAGAAAGTTGCACTTTTGCGCGTTTTTTTTTCTTCTTCTTCATGCTCACGTCATACAATTTATTTATAAAGTTCAACTGTCAGATAATCAAGAATAATAATGTTCCTTTGCTTTGGTATTATGCATTTATAATTTTCTTTAAGCTTAAAATAAAATGTGGAAATCAAGGAGGACTTTGTGAGGCTGTGATGCTTTGTCGAACCCTCCAGGAGGAACATGATGTACAGTATCCAGGAGTTTGAAGTTCAGCTCTAACTGGTTTCCTGTCTGATTTTCAGATTGTTGAATCATACGTGATTTTCTGCTCACTTTGCGCCGCTGCGGGCTCTCTGTGATTTATGGAACACCTCCGGCGAGGCCTCTCATATAAAAACTTTTACGCGCGGAGACATGGACATTTTTAAACAGAAGCAAGAGAGGGAGGAACAATTAAAAAAAAATAAAAAAACAGAAGAAGAAGCCAGAAGTGATCGGCTCTGACTCTCAACTCTCACCTGCACGGGTTATTATTACCAGCATTTATTTTCAGGCTGAACAGCTCCACGTGTTTGTCCACTCGTCATCAGGTGAGTGGCTCCTTCAAACCACTTTAGGTTTGTGATGAAAGGTCGATGGATTGTTCTGCGTGTTCAAACTGCAGCTGCGTGGAAAAAAAACAAAAAAAAACTAAAACAAGTGGGGGAGCTGAGAGTTGAAACAGGGGTCACGCTGCTGTTTTCCAGGGATGGAGAGTTGCGCGTTTGGACCAGCAGTGTCATAAATCTGTAAATCTCTCAGGGGGTGCGAGAGAGCCAATGCACCAGTCTGTTCATTTACATAAAAGTAGATTTTTTTTTAAACCCATCAGAAATGCGCGTGGAACACCTCTGCAGACTTCACCTCTCATCAGGAGATGATGGCCTGCATGAACTTACGAGTGTACTTTATGTCATCATAACGCCTCGCTGAGAAATATTTAATTAGCCTATTTGCTGCATCGTTGAGGACCCCAGAAATTAAAGTCATTTCCTCCGTTGAAGGTGTCACCAGAGGCCCAGACACTTACCGCGCTGAATTATGGTTATTTTATTCACTTTTCATCAGCAAGAGGTGATCTGAATATGCGATCCTGAGACTATAGATTCTCAATTATGTATAGGTTAAGTGATTTGATTTGTTCCCTGACAATTATTCTCGGGTGCGACAACCAGTTGCGTCTCTGCTGCAGAGGTGGTGTCCGAATAAGACGCAACAAATTATTGGATGCTAACAATCACCCTTTTGTCAAATTTTAAAACCAGAGGGCTAATAAACTGATAACAGGCGCTCAAACTAAACAATAAAATACACGAAAGGACAAATTTTAATAAAACTTTGATTTTTTTTTTTTTTAATTTTAACGACAGCATTAACTTTTGTTCAAGTGTTATTTGACTTTTTGTCCTGCGCAAATCAATGCAGCACCATAAAAACGAGCTGAGTTTGTTTCTTCGTGTAACATTTTTTTTTACAGAAACAATACATTTAATTATGAATTTTCTTAGCTTACATTTGATTATGATGGATACTAATATTATAAGGGAGAACATGTAACTTTGTCTTCAGCTGCAGGGTTGTTCAGTCCTCTCTCAGCTGAGGCCTATAGATGAAGTCTCCATGTCATGCTCTTGTTAATCCAAAAGTCCGAGCCTGTTTGTGGAAGCAGACAATGTGCGTGTTCTCCTCACGTCTGGTGTGCAGTCTGCAAACTCTGCTACTTTCATTTCCCTCTGCATTGTTTACAGCAATATAGGGCACCGGGCCCATAAATCTTCCCCGTGCTCTGCCAAGGCAGCGCCATTTGTATGCACCGTTTTAACCGACAGCATCCTCTGCCCATTAACGTCTTCTGTCTCCTCTTATCCGCACAGCTCTGTCCTCTGGACACGCATTAACTGATCCCCGCTCTCATCCGGAAAACAATTATGTTTTTGTTTATTTTCTGAACGGAATATTACGTTAATGTGTTTTGTTTGGGAGGAAAAAAAAAAAAAAAACATTTTTGCGTCGCAGTCGAGTTTAGAGTGTTGTGCGCAGCTGCGAAACCCCCCCCCCCCCCCCCCCCCCCCCCCCGCCCCCTTCCCCCCCCCCCCCCCCCCC